TGACTTTTACTGTATCGATCTTTTGAAACCAATCAATGTATATGAACGTCCAATTATTAGAGACTCTGATATCATCGTCCAATAAAATGTTATCAATGATTAAGAACACGAACGACCCAACCTTGATGATGGTTGTGATGTTTCTTGAATAACAGGAATTTCTTAAGTGATAATAAAGATAATAGCTAGTCAACATTATTGGTAAAGAATTTGTCATTTTTAATTGTTCGTAGCAAGATCAAATCAATTCTCATCGCTTCTCTGACTACGTGATAAGTGCATTGATCAAATATCCCTGTTTACTGGAAAACAGTTATTTGTTAGAATATGAGTATATTTATAACACATAACATGACTAATTATTGCCCTTCCGGGACACCTGAGATCACCACCAGGGTTCGTGTTGCTCACTGAGTCTCTAGTTATCTTGTAGCGTTTTGTGCACTTGTCTTTTTGTCGTCTATTTTACATGGCATTGTCAATTAATCTGGACTAATGAGGTTTAAATGTCCCTTGGTAGCTTTCACCTCGTTTTATTGGCTTAATGTATCTTGGAAAGCAGAGACACGTGTTTATGATTTTCTCAAAATTATTTTTACGATTTTTTACTCAAACTGCATAAAAAAAAGTTACAAATCGATTCCTGTAAGTGCGAATATGGTAGATAATTTCGTTGGAAATGATAAATGATGAAATGAAAAATCAGTGTTCAATGTAAATAATGCCCATATAATTGTACAAATTTCTACTAGCTGATACGATTGTCAAGGACATGCGTTTTATTATCAGACCTCCAACAACAAAAAATGTCTGCACAATGTGGCAAATTCTAAATCAAATCGAGCCTTGAAATACTGTAAATAAATTTAACAGAGGATAACAAATATCTGATATGTACACTAAATTCACCAAAGGATATACAACTTTGATATGAACCTAAAGACAACCACTGACGAGATTCTTGACATCTGACAAGCATATGAACACGTAGCGTGGAAAGAAATATTGAAATCTCAACTCTTCCATCCTAATCTTGATACATGTGAATGTTCTGATTATTTGTGTGTCATATAACATGTATAATATCGTCATTTCCCTAGGGCAAACTAAAATAAAATGCTCCGCAGGGCGCAGCTTGATACGACCGCAGAGGTCGAACCCTGAACAGTTGGGGCAAGTATGGACACAACATTCAAGCTTGATACAGCTTTGCATTTGGATTGTGATTAAATATTTGACACAGCATAGGTTTCTGACACAGAATGAATGTGGTCTAAGAACTTAAAAATTTTAAATTGGACATTCACCTATTATGGTCCAATATCCAAAATCTAAAAACATGGTTAGATTCAGCATATCAAAGAACCCCAAGAATTCAATTTTTGATGAAATCAAACAAAGTTTAATTTTGGACCCTTTTGACCTCAATGTGGACAAAGTTGAAAACGGGGCCCAAAAATCAAAAATCTAAATACATGGTTAGATTCAGCATATCAAAGAACCCCATATAATCAATTTTTGTTGAAATCAAACAAAGTTTAATTTTGGACCCCGATTTGGACCAACTTGAAAACTTGGCCCATAATCAAAAATCTAAATACATGTTTAGATTCAGCATATCAAAGAACCCTAAGAATTCAATTTCTGTTAAAATCAAACTAAGTTTAATTTTGGACCCTTTGGACCTTAATGTAGACCAATTTGAAAACGGAACCAAAAATTAAGAATCTAAATACACGGTTAGATTCGGCATATCAAAGAACCCCAATAATTCAATTTTTGATGAAATCAAACAAAGTTTAATTTTGGACCCTTTGGACCTCAATGTGGACCAATTTAAAAACGGGGCCCAAAATCCAAAAACTAAATACACGGTTAGATTCAGCATATTAAAGAACCCCAAGAATTCAAGAATAAAACCCCATTGAAATTGGTCAAGAAATAAGCAATTTATACGAAGTATCTTCTTTTGCACAATACTGTGCAATTAAATATTTCTTGCTATTGCGCAATACTGTACAATTGACAATTTCTTGCTATTGCGCATATTGTGCTATTGGATATTTCTTGCTATTGCGCAATACTGTGCAATTGAAGATTTCTTGCTATTGCGCAATACTGTGCAATTGAAGATTTCTTGCTATTGTGCAATACTGTGCAATTGAAAATTTCTTGCTATTGCACAATACTTATTATAAAATAATTTACACATCTTGTTTGGTGTGTATCTCCTACCATATCATTATTATTTGCTTTTAAATATAAATCAGAAATAACCAACTTAAAATGGAAAATTTTAAAAGAAAAAAAAAGGAAAAAAAGAAAAAAAAAAGGAAAAAAAAAAAAAATCCCCCCCCCCAAATTTTTTGAACCCCCTTATGATTCATCACCCCCAAACTCAATCCCAGCCTTCCCTTTGTGGTATGGTACCTTGCAGTACAATTTCAGAGAGATCCATACACTTGAACACAAGTTATTGTCTGGAAACTAGAAAATGTGTTTTTTGGCCCCTTTTTGGCCCCAAATTCCTAAACAATTAGGGCAATTACCCCCAAACTCAAACCCAGCTTTCCCTTTGTATTATGGAACCTTGTAGTACAATATCAGAAAGATCCATACACTTACACACAAGTTATTGTCCTGAAACTAGAAAAATGCTTGTTTTTTGCCCCTTTTTGGCCCCTAAGTCCTAGAATATTGAGGCAATTACCCTCATCATCAATCCCAGCCTTCCCTTTGTGGTATGGTACCTTGCAGTACAATTTCAGAGAGATCCATACACTTGAACACAAGTTATTGTCTGGAAACTAGAAAAATGCTTATTTTTGGCCCCTTTTTGGCCCCCAATTCCTAAACGTTTCAGCAATTACCCCTAAACTCAATTCCAGCTTTTCCTTTGTGATATGGAACCTTGTAGTACAATTTCAGAAAGATCCATATTGTCATGAAACTAGAAAAATGCTTGTTTTTTTGCCCCTTTTTTGGCCCCTAATTCCTAATATTTTGAGGCAATTACCCCCAAAATCAATCCCAGCATTCCTTTTGTGATATGGAACCTTGTGGTACAATGTCAGAGAGATCCATACACTAACACACAAGTTATGTCTGGAAGTTACAAAAATGCTTATTTTGGCCCCTTTTTGGCCCCTAATTCCTTTACTGTTGGTACCATAACCCCCAAAATCAATCCCAACCTTCCTTTTGTGGTATTGAACCTTGTGGTAAAATTTCAAAGAGATCCATTCACTTAAACTAAAGTTAGAGTGCGAAAACCAATGTGTCTTCGGACGACGCCGGACGACGCCAGACGACGACGACGACGACGACGACGCCAACGTCATACCAATATACAACCACAAAAATTTTTTTGCGGTCGTATAAAAAATCAGCTTTCATTGTTTGACAGATGAGGAAATCAAATGCAAGAAAAATTGGCAAAATACGTTAAATAATTACTAATTCACACTTAAAGATTTGATAAGCTTTCTCTTTTGCAAATCAATTAACATGATTTATGAATGCTACTTAGTTATGAGAAGATTTAATCGGACACATTGTATAGACAATTGCATATAAACCGCGTATTTGTCTGTTCGTATTTTTCTGCTGTTATCATGATTATGGTTTTTGGAATGTTGTCTCCTTTTTATTAAAAAAAACCCAAAAGATATTTAACGTAAACCAATGCTTATTTACAATAAAAACGTGATGCTTGGATATAATAGGAATTAAAAAAAATGATATCATGTACCTTTTTCATATTTTAAGAGGACAGGCTTGGATTAAGAGATGTATCTTTTTTAATTAATGATGCGTTTGATATAGTCGTTTCCATTCATACTTTAAAAGCATTCATGTGAAATAGAAATTAATTTATATGTGTTTTCAAGAAGTTTTTAAAAATATTTCTAATAAAATGCTTCGCTAAGGCGCAGCTTGATACGACCGCAGAGGTCGAACCCTGAACAGTTGGGGCAAGTATGGACACAACATTCAAGCTTGATACAGCTCTGAATTTGGATTGTTATTAAATATTTGACACAGCATAGGTTTCTGACACAGAAAGAATGTGGTCTAAGAACCTGAATTTTTTTAATTTACCTATTATGGTCCAATGTCCAAAATCAAAATACATGGTTAGATTCAGCATATCAAAGAACCCCATATATTCAATTTTTATTGAAATCAAACAAAGTTTAAATACTGGACCCTATCTTGGACCAACTTGAAAACTGGGCCCATAATCAAAAATCTAAACACATGTTTAGATTCAGCATATCAAAGAACCCCAAGAATTCAATTTTTGCTAAAATCAAACTAAGTTTAATTTTGGACCCTTTGGACCTTAATGTAGACCAATTTAAAAAACAGGACTTAAAATTAAAAATCTAAATACATGGTTAGATTTGGAATATCAAAGAACCCCAATAATTCAATTTTTGATGAAATCAAACAAAGTTTAATTTTGGACCCTTTTGACCTTAATATGAACCAATTTGATAATGGGGTTCACAAATAAAAAATCTAAATACATGGCTAGATTCAGCATATCAAAGAACCCCATATATTCAATTTTTGTTGAAATCAAAAAAAGTTTAATTTTGGACCCCAACTTGAAAACTGGGCCCATAATCAAAAATCTAAACACATGTTTAGATTCAGTATATCAAAGAACCCCAAGAATTCAATTTTTCTTAAAATCAAACTAAGTTTAATTTTGGACCCTTTATTTGGACCTCAATGAAGACCAATTTAAAAAACGACCCAAATTAAAAATCTAAAAACACAGTTAGATTTGGCATATCAAAGAACCCCAATAATTCAATTTTTGATGAAATCAAACAAAGTTTAATTTTGGACCCTTTTGACCTCAATATGAACCAATTTGATAGCGGGATCACAAATAAAAAATCTAAATACATGGTTAGATTCAGCATATCAAAGAACCTCATATATTCAATTTTTGTTGAAATCAAACAAAGTTTAATTTTGGACCCCAATTTGGACCAACTTGAAAACTGGACCCATAATCAAAAATCTAAATACATGTTTAGATTCAGCATATCAAAGAACCCCATATATTCAATTTTTGTTGAAATCAAACAAAGTTTAAATACTGGACCCTATCTTGGACCAACTTGAAAACTGGGCCCATAATCAAAAATCTAAACACATGTTTAGATTCAGCATATCAAAGAACCCCAAGAATTCAATTTTTGTTAAAATCAAACTAAGTTTAATTTTGGACCCCTTTGACCTTAATAAGAACCAATTTGATAACGGGGTCCACAAAAAAAATCTAAATACATGGTTAGATTCAGCATATTAAAGAACCCCATATATTCAATTTTTGTTGAAATCAAACAAAGTTTAAATACTGGACCCCAATTTGGACCAACTTGAAAACAGGGCCAAAAATCAAAAATCTAAATACATGTTTAGATTCAGCATATCAAAGAACCTCATATATTCAATTTTTGCTAAAATCAAACAAAAAAGTTTAATTTTGGACCCTTTGGACCTTAATGTAGACCAATTTGAAAACTGGGCCCATAATCAAAAATCTAAATACATGTTTAGATTCAGCATATCAAAGAACCCTAAAAATTCATTTTTTGTTAAAATCAAACTAAGTTTAATTTTGGACCCTTTGGACCTTAATGCAGACCAATTTGAAAACGGAACCAAAAATTAAGAATCTAAATACACGGTTAGATTCGGCATATCAAAGAACCCCAACCCAAGAATTCAAGAATAAAACCCCATTGAAATTGATCAAGAAATAAGCAATTTATATGAAGTATCTTCTTTTGCACAATACTGTGCAATTGAATATTTCTTGCTATTGCGCAATACTGTACAATTGACAATTTCTTGCTATTGCGCAATATTGTGCTATTGGATATTTCTTGCTATTGCGCAATACTGTGCAATTGAAGATTTCTTGCTATTGCGCAATACTGTGCAATTGAAGATTTCTTGCTATTGTGCAATACTGTGCAATTGAAAATTTCTTGCTATTGCACAATACTTATTATATAATAATTTACACATCCTGTTTGGTGTGTATCTCCTACCATATCATTATTATTTGCTTTTAAATATAAATCAGAAATAACCAAATTAAAATGGAAAATTTTAAAAGAAAAAAAAAAGGAAAAAAAGAAAAGAAAAAAAATCCCCCCCCCCAATTTTTTGAACCCCCTTATGATTCATCACCCCCAAACTCAATCCCAGCCTTCCCTTTGTGGTATGGTACCTTGCAGTACAATTTCAGAGAGATCCATACACTTGAACACAAGTTATTGTCTGGAAACTAGAAAAATGCTTATTTTTGGCCCCTTTTTGGCCCCCAATTCCTAAACGTTTCGGGCAATTACCCCCAAACTCAATTCCAGCTTTCCCTTTGTGATATGGAACCTTGTAGTACAATTTCAGAAATATCCAAACACTTACACACAAGTTATTGTCATGAAACTAGAAAAATGCTTGTTTTTTGCCCCTTTTTTGGCCCCTTATTCCTAAAATTTTGAGGCAATTACCCCCAAAATCAATTACAGCCTTCCCTTTGTGATATGGAACCTTGTGGTACAATGTCAGAGAGATCCATACACTTACACACAAGTTATTGTCTGGAAGTTACAAAAATGCTTATTTTTGGCCCCTTTTTGGCCCCTAATTCCTTAACTGTTGGTACCATAACCCCCAAAATCAATCCCAACCTTCCTTTAGTGGTATTGAACCTTATGGTAAAATTTCATGGAGATCCATTCACTTAAACTAAAGTTAGAGTGCGAAAACCAATGTGTCTTCGGACGACGCCGGACGACGCCAGACGACGACGACGACGACGACGACGACGACGACGACGCCAACGTCATACCAATATACGACCAAAAAATTTTTAATTTTTGCGGCCGTATAAAAATAGTTGACATATTAAGTATTAATTTCATCTATATTATTAAAAGTCAAAAAGCCGCTACGTATACTGTTCATACCCTTTAAATATATTTCTTTTTTTATTTGACAATTAAATAAGCAAAATTGAGAATGGAAACGGGGAATGCGTTAACGAGACAACCCGACCACAGAGCAGAAAACAGCCCAAAGCCACCAACGGATCTTCAACGCAGCCAGAAAATCCTGCACCGGAGGCTGGCTTCAATAATGTTTACTAGTTCAGCGAATATGGACTTCACACTCAACTCAGAAACGTATAAATGAACCATAATAAAAAGGCGGGGTTAATATATATAAGAAGATGTGATATGAGTGCCAATGAGACAACTCTCCATCTAAGTCACAATGTGTAAAAAGTAAACAATTAACACGGAGCCTTGGCTCATATCGAACAGCAAGCTATAAAGGGCCCAAAAATGACTAGTGTAAAACAATTCAAACAGGACAACCAACGGCATAATCTATATAAAAAACGAGAAACGAGAACACTTCTGAACCACATCAACAAACGATAACCACTGAACAACAGGTCCCTGACTTAGGACAGGTGCAAACAAACGCAGCAGGTTTAAAAGTTTTAACAAGCGCCAACCTTCACCCTAACCTGAAACAGTAGTGTAACATTACAACATAGAAAGACACACTATAAAATATCAATTGAAATGGCTTAACTCGAACCAAAAGACATATTAACAAAAACAAGTAAACATACACTGAACGAATAAACATACACTGAACGAATAAATTTGATCTATAACACAATATAAATACAAAATTACTAAAAAAAAACAGGGGGGGGGGGGGGGGGGGAATGTAAAACAATGTCAAAATGACAACTGAAACCTGGGACAAAATGGCGTTAAATAAAATAACGTACACAGGTAAATTTAAATACAATAATTTTGTAGCAAGGAGTACGGAAATATTTTTAACAAAATAAATAAATTTGTTGTTCATAGTACGAGTACAGAAGTTAAAATTTATAGTCATGCTAAATACTTTTCAAATGTGGTACATAGTGAGAGGAGATATAACACAAAAAAAATTGAATAACAAAAATGCATTACAAATTGTGTCAACAGATCAAATTAAAAGAAAGTACGATTTGAGAGTACTCGCAGTTACTGAAATCTTATTAAAAGCCAAACACAATAAATAAAAAAAAAAATCATGCATCAGAGACTAAAACCAATTAAAACACATCCCAGGGATTTAGTGTTTTAACGCCATGGACAGACAAAGAAGACATGACTTGTGCAATGCCAAAATAAAAGTATCGACATGTTTAACACGATTAAACTTCTAGCCAATGTGGAATAAACAAACACACAGTAATACGCACAGTAAAATTCAGTTCAAAAGAAGTCCGAGTCCGATGTTTAAAAAGGTAACAGAAGAATCTAAGCAAAATGACAATAATCAACATAAATTAACAAAGGACTACTAGCAGTTACTGACATGCCAGCTCCAGACCTCAATTAAACTGACTGAAAGATTATGTCTTCGTCATATGAAAATCAATCACAATTCCTCCCGTTAGGGGTCTAGTATCATACCATCATAAAATATACGAGAAGATGATATGCTTTTCCAAGTTTCTAATCACTATAGATTAAAATGAATAGTTAATCCTTTTCCCTTTTTTCATTAAAAGAGTATGTTCTTTCATCCTTTCAAATTTGGTCATTAATTTTTTGAGAAAAAAAATACTGTTCTTTAAATATTTTAGTTTACCTTTTTGACTCTATATAGGTACGTGTTGTTTAAAAGTATTCAAATTCAGGAACTGTTCACGAATCAATTGCTATAATCCCAAATGGTTCACTTCAAAGGGGAAACATATATGCAAGTTTATTGTCCGATTAAAAGTAATTTCTCCAAGGAAATGAATCCGGGAAAACAAGAAATCATTACAGAGATTATCATGGGATAGTACATTGGAATCGTGTTTACGAAGATGAGAATAATCTATGTCCATTAAACATTGATATAACTGATGTAAATATAATTGTAAACTCATGTCTTGGCAGCTGGTCAGCCGATGTTATTAGCATAACAATAAATCACGCTAACTTCTCACAAGAGAGTGCTGTGTCTGTTACATAAATATGTTGACGATCAACTTGGACAGATGGAAGTTTAAAGCATGATATGAACAATATGATCGTAGTAATTGTATAAAAAGGCCAATGACTATATTTCAAACATTACGGCCACATGAAATTAATTTGACTATTCATATGCTTCAACCTTTAGAAATTAATAAATATGAAATGTGCAAAGTTAGTTCCGAAGACAATGTTACTGTTTCACTGCTAGCTAAATATGATTCGATTATTTCTGACGAAAATCTTAAAATCGTTAAAAATGTGTTTGGATTATATTTACTACTACCAGTGTCAGTGTTTGGAATAATTGGTAATGTGATTAGTGTTTCAGTCTTGTGTCATTGGAAAAAGAAGACGGCAAGCATTTACTGCTTATTAGGGATGGCTATATCGGATTTGCTACTGTTGCTTAATGCAGTGTTATTTTCAGCAATTATTATTTACATCAATGTAGATCCAATTGAAGGTAACAACTTTAGAAGCACTCTTTTCCCTTACCTTGGAATGTACACGAGTTTGGTGACTGCTCGGATAACCTCTTTACTCACAACATTAATCGGTTTCGAAAGATTCGTGGCTGTTCATTTTCCCATGAGAGCAAAACTGATTTGCAGCAAAAAATCGACTTTTATTGCTATTTCAATAATTTACATACTTACTATCATATCATTCATTCCATTTATATTTAAATATAATGTTGTCCATACAGTCAAAGACAATACTTCATATGCAGTTGTTGTAAGAAATCCAGATACAAGTGAAAAGTTTTGCAGAATGTACGGAATTGTTTTGAATTCTGTTTTCAGATTTTTGCCAGTTATACTAATTCTGATTTTAAACATTTTAATTCTATTGGCAATAAAGAGAACGGCTAGGAAAAGAGAATATTTGCGATCTGAAAAGAAGCCAACTCACAATCAGGAACAAGAGCAAAGAAAAGTAACCGTAATGCTCCTTGTAGTTTCATTTACATTCCTTATTTGCATATTGCCAGGAGCTATTAATAGCTTACTACAGACAACATGGAAAGGTTATACTCGATTAGGCAGATCAAAGAACTTTCAACAATTTGTATCTTATATAACATTCTTCTTAGAAGTACTAAACTCGGCCGTTAATTTTATAATATACATGGCAATGAGTGCTAAGTTTTTAGCCGTGTTTAAAGAAATGTTTTACTCTACAAAACAATGCATAAAACATGCAATTTTCAAAAGAGACCAGATGTCTTCCGATTTTCACCAAAGGTCTACTATATCAATATCTCGAAAGTCCAGTTTTTCTTATACCGAGGAACCATTACCGCAGAACATGATTAATTTACGACATGAATTTGAAGCGTGCAAATACCCCATCAATCATTCAAAGAATGACATAAATGTCAATCAAAATGGCTGTAATGAGGTCAATGAAATATATCCGTTACTAATCTGTACAACTTATGAAAGTTATGTCAAAGAAGATTGCGATAAAAAGAAAAACATTCAAAAGGAATCTGCTATAACAGAAAGTTCAAATAAAAAAAATTCACGGTTGGTTAAACAAGATACTCTAGAAACCAGTCTTGGCGAGTCATAAAACCAGGTCATAGTAGATACATTATTCTAATAATGGTTTGTATCAATAATTATTTATCGTGGGAGAAAATCATAAAATTTCATTGAAGGCAAAAGCAATGTCAAAATATAAATATGAAGTTTTCCTCACATTAATTTATTCTTCTTTTGGGGGAGGGGGAATTCATTATTTATAAATGTAATGTCAGGTCTTTAAAACGAATGAATATATATGAACCGATCAAAGACTTATACATTTATCAGTGTTCTCTTAAGATAATCTCTCATTTTAATCTATTTCAATGTTATATACTGGAACAAAACTAAAAAAATAAAGAATTTCTGAAAGACTGATCTTTCGACATAACATATTTAAAAAATGAACCAATGAACATTAAGATAAATGGCTATTTTTTCAGTTACCACTGCAGAGTGAACATAGTCATAAATTTCCGGTTAAAAAATCATTATCGACCCTAAAGTAAGGTTGAAACTCTCTCGGGCTAAGCTAAGCTTATAAACGTCTTGCTACTTTGTTAAGGTCTTTGTCATT